ATCTCCTGGTGACACCAGATGTCCTCTCTGGGACAAAGCTTCCCAAATGACGCACTTCCACAGGGGCCAGATTTCCTCTCTTGAAGGACAGTGCATTAAGGAGCTCCACAGGCCCAAGAAACCATGACCCTAGCTGTAGGTCTTGAATTTAAATCCAAAAGAGCAGCTGTCTATGGCAGCAGCTAAGTGACAAGCTGTTTTCCCATCCCGTCCCCTCCTCTCTGCCAAACACCCAGCCCCAAGGCAAGACACACCAACTTTTGTGTCCCCAAGACGAAGGGGACATACAGCTGAGCAGGGTGGTGGCTCTTTCAGCAACACAAATTGGATCTGGAAAGCTTTGTCAACTGTTGTGATGCTCACGGAGGCCACACAGCTCGTCATTAAGAAATGGGGACCATGGGGACACAGTGTCTTGCACGAGGTTTCCAGTGGTGCCACGTCACTCGTGCATGTGCTGAAATGCAGAAATCCCCGCTGGTACCTGCTTTCTGAGGATTTATAGGGACCCTTGGCCAGCAGCAACCCTTCCAACATGCACACCCATCACCAAACCCTCCTAAAAAGTTGCCGGTTTGTGTCAGCTGATGACACATCCTTTACAATCCATTTCCTTTCGGAGGTGGCTTTCTCTAAACCCCCACCGCCTGCAAGCCAGATGACCCACCCCTTCCCCAGGAGATTTTGCTCTGGTGAGGGTGTGACGAGCCAGCTGTGCCCAGACCTTCTTGTGATGGCATGCCTTGCTGCCACGCGGCCCCTCTCCTCCTGCTCTTCCTCCTCCTCACGTCTCATTCCACAGCCATGGGTTATTGTGCAACGAGCCAGTGGCAGCTGCAGCGCTTAGCTGCACGGAAAATCACAGAAGGAAAGAAGCGGGTGTATTTTTAGCTTATTTTTCCTGCAATTTAGCAGTGGGGAGAAAAAAAAAATCAAGTTGTTCCATGCGACTTAATGATTAAGTCTGCTTTCCTATGGATTCATGAGCTATAGCCCCTACATTCTGCCTCTCCCGTGTCCTTCCAGGTGTCCCATCTGCCCGCCCGCCATTTATCCCCAGCTCTGCCCAGGTCTGTCACCCCTCGGGCAGGGTGGATGGCAATACACGCCGGACTTGGCCAAGGGGCCAGCCCCTACAAGGGCTGATGGCCTCAACACTAGACACAACCATAAGTGACTTTTAAGGCATCCTTTGCAGCTCTCACATCTTTTTCCACTCTTTTTCTCACCTCTTTTGCCCTCCTTTTCACATTGTTTGTAGGACATCACTATTCGTAATGCTGGTACTCCTCCACAAAAAGCCTGCCAGATGGACTGGGAAGTTCTCAGGGGGATGGATGACCACCAGACAGCACCATCCCATTCACCTTATACCCCCCCAAAAAAAAGGCTAAAAGGAGCTTTTTTGGACTCTGCCTCCAAATTCCTGGCATCTGCAGAGGTTTGCAAAGCAAGGACTGAGAGCCCCTGGCAGAGGGTATGGAAATGCAGTTTTCCCCCCCAAAAAACCCAGAGGTGCCTGAAGGCATCTGCACCTTCCTATGCCCCAAGGTGCAGAACACGGCTCCAGCTGTGTGTATCCCGTGGCTTGGGACTTGGCTAACCCATCAGGCAGAAAGACTAATGCTAAACGTGTGACAAGACTCAAAAGCTGGGAGCGTTTCATCCACGACCAAAAGATGACACCAACTGGACCACAACTATACACAAACACTCCAGTTTGCCAGAGCCACAGATTACTAACAGCTCTGTTTAATAGTCAGTTAAATTATCATTTGGAGTTTTACATAGTGTTACAATTATTTTGTTGTTGTTGTTGTTTAAAACCTTTTTCTTTATTTTTTTTTTAACTAATCTGGAAGGGTTTTGTGTTTCTTGCCACGTGGCTATCTCACCCTAAAGAACCCTACTTTCAATCTACAGTAGTAAAACGTCACATTAGAGTTTTTATAGAACATCAAGGAACATGAATTGTAGCCTCCTTTGTAAAGAAAAGGACGAAACCATCTTTATATGTTAAATAACTCCACGACAAGTAAAAGGTAGTAATGCTATTAGAGGGGGACGGGTGCAGCAAAGAAAAGATAACAACCCAGAGGTTCAGCTCAGGTGAATGATCGCTCATTAATTCAGAAATAAAACAAGAAGAGAGGGCAGGGGGACAAAGGGAGGTTGCAGAAACGGATGGAAAACAGTGTCTTCTCCAGCTTTCCCATGGTTGTCAGCATGAGAAGAACCAGGAGCCCAAGAGAGAAAATTCGGACCCAATAGTAGGATCCCGCAGCAGATGTGGGACAGGGGTCGGCTCTGCAGGGATGGGCACGGCTTGGGGCTCGCCCATGGCTGGTTTGGGTGAGCAAGACCCATGCAACACATCTCACCATGCCCAGGTCTGCAGCCAGGGTGCACCCTTCCCGGCTCTGCTCTGGGCCCCCCAAGCTCGTGCTTGGCTGAGATGGGCTCATGTGCTCATTGAGGCATTTTGGGCAAGAAAATCCAAGTTTGGGCAAAATTCTGAGTTGCAAAGCCAGAGCGAGGAAACTAAGAAGGAAGCCTTCACAAAGCCAGGGCATGGTCCATCATGGGATGGGGATGGCGAGTCCCATCCAACCATGCAAGGGTGCTGCCGAAGGACTGGGACGGGTGGCTTTCCCCTCGGCCACTGGGGTGGTCCATTTCCCAACCCACAGGAGCAGAGTCCAGCCCAGCCGGCTGATGATGCTGTAGGGTTTTTGTTGACCACACAAGGTCTTTGAAATGCAAGTGCTGAAGCAGAGCAGAAATATCTGCAGAGCCCCAGTGGAAATCTTGGGGCTGGATGAAAAAAAAAATAACCTAGGCAGGTGTGAAGGCATGGGGTATCCAGGGTTTTCCTGGCAGCATCGCGGTGGTGAGTGGCTGGCAGGCTGCACTGCTCCTGTCCCTGCTGCTGCACCTAGTGAGCAATAAAAGAGAGGAGGCTGCTACCCAAAGGAAAACAGTCTGCGTTCCATATAAAGGCCACATAAGCGGTATTACTTGGCGAGCAACCAACTTGTGTCTGGGCCAGAGCAGCCTTCTTTCAAGCATCCCTCGGAGGAGTTGAACGGAGGTGCCCTTTGCCCATCCCTGGACGGCTGCCCGGCTGGAAGTTAAAAGCTGTCTCAGTGTCCGCTGGGAGAAGCAAGAGGATAAACCAAAGCATCTTGGCCAAGATTGTTGGCGGCAGAAAGGAAAAGGAGTGACGGCTCAGTACAGCTCACCTGCCCACGTATACCTGCGCATGGTCTCGCTCTGAGCCCCAAGCCCTCGACAGCATCAGGCACGTCAAAATATAAGGAGAAACATGTAATAAAATGCCAAAAGGATCCAACAGACTTCCTTCTTGTAAAGAGCAAGTGTTTGCCCCAAGACTCCTGCCAGATACATTCCTTATAGAAACGACACTGGGATGCCCAGGTAATACTGACTGGTGGGGGCTGCTCCCAGCAGATCCCCAGTCCAGGACAGCTGCCCCCAGAGGAGGGGTCTGCCCACAAGAAGAGAAGAGCAAAGCACTGTGTAGTCCTGCAGGAAGATGCTGAACTGCTGTTGAGCAAATACCATGATGCAGCACCATCGGCTGCGGACCACAGCTGCGTCCCTCTCGGCACCACGCGAATATTCCAGCCGTGTCCTTGGCAGGTAGCAGGAGGAATGAGGCACAAAATCATAAGAGACAGGCTGAAGATTGCTCCTGCCAAGACTGAAAAAAATGAAAAGGATATTTTGCTCTGAAGATGCATCATAAAAATCCCAGTGTAGGGCTCCCGGCTTGTCCAGATCAAAGGTGCACAGCTGGCGAGTCCAGAGCCGCCTCCTCTGCAAACCAGGCTGGAGGCTGAAGCCAAAAGGAAGCTGTTTGCTGCCTCCAACACCATCAGTGGTAACAGGGTTTTGGAGAACAGTTTGCTCTGAACTGAGCCCAGTGTCCCAGGACAACCCCAGTTCTCTGGTTTAAAAAAAAAAAAAAAATTTTTTTAAAAAAAAGAGTCATCTGTGAGAGCTGCAGATGTGAGTGTGAATATGGGCAAGCAACACCCCCAGGAGCCTGCCTGTCATACTGTGTCACCAAACCCTCTCTGGGGCCAGGACCTCCAGGACCATCCTGCACCGCTGCATTGGGGTACACTACACCCCGCTCCCCTGGCCACATGGGCTACGCCACGGCTACAGGCGGCTGGTGCAGAAGGCAGCCTTGGCTGTGCCCGCTGGGTGCTGCTGTTGTGGCTGGGGCTCTCCTGAGCTGTAGTTTGACATTGCTTCAAAGTCTTTATTATGGTGGGTAAAAAAAAAATAATAACAATAATGAAAGGGATTTTTAAGTTGACTTCCTAGGAATTTAGTCCCACAAGATGAAAGAACACAATGTCCAGCTGACCACTGGCCCTGAGGCCAAGCTGCCGTTGCTCTGGAGGACTCTGCATTTTGCAGCAAGCCTGGGCTTAGACCATCACAGAAGAACCTGAGGAGGTGGGGTCACCAACACCCCTCTCTCCTTGTCCCAGCTGATAATGTCCCAGCACTGTCCCACAATGCCACCATCATTCTGCCCACTCTCATCCACACCTCATGCTTTAGAATTGCAAAAAACAAAACAAAACAAAACAAACCCCACAACCACCTGCCTTGGCGGCCCAGTGGCTGGCTTGCTCAGCCATAACCATCAGCATCTCAACGCAACCTGCATACCGTGCCTCCATTTTCCCAGCCCTGCATCACCTGATCTCCCTTCATGGCTGTGTCACCGCATTTCTCCTGTGACCAGTGTCCCTGACCCCTGGGGATGGTCCCCACAGCCGGGGCAGAGATGGGGCAGGCAGAGGGGGCTGTGCCCTCCCAACCCACCCTCTCCACTGATGCTGAGGAACCTCTCGGCAAAATGAATAAAACAAAACCAAGAAAACTGGGTCCCACAAGACTTCTAACTAGAACGGCGGTTGGGGACAAGTCGAAGAAGAAACTAATACTGTGTCAGTCCTGCACAGAGCAGCCAGTTTCGCTCCCTGGTCCAAATTTTTGTCTCTAGAAACATCAGCGCACCCTCCCCTCCCCGTGGGTCCGTGTAAAAAACCCTCACAAACACCCGTGGGAAGGCCAGCATGAGAGCGGGCGCCCGCAAGCCTCAGTAGTCCTTGTCACCATAGTCATTGTACAGGACGCTCAGCGTCTGCTCCTCGCACGTCTTCTTGAGGTCCCGGCTGAGCTCCGACCAGTCGAGCCCGTAGGGCTTGATCTCGCTGTAGCGGCAGGCGAGGTACTTGAGGGACGCGCGCTGGAGGCTTATCTTGGGCTCTTGCAGGAGACCGTTGCACCAGCTGCTGAGGTCCCCCAGCTGTGAGAGGATGAGGCCAGCTTTCCTGCAGCGAGGGTGGGCAGGGGGAGATGCCAGAACGGGGAGGGATGAACAGTGAGGTGGCAGTGGGGGCGATGGAGACATCATGGGGTGATGGTGGGAAGGGCAAGAGGAGCGTATGAGGAGAGAAAAGCAAAGATAGTTAAGGATGCCGCAGGAGCTCCTGGACAGAGAAGAGACAGCGCAAGAGCTGGGCGGTGAGGAGAGTGGATGAGCAGAGCCCAACCCCGTGGGGACGAGGAGGGACAGTGGGGCTGGGGGAAACAGTGGCCCTGAGGCAGGACTTCAAGTCTAAATGCATGCAGGAGCCAGGGTCAGAGCACCGTGGTGGTGCTGGACCTGCTGCACTGCTCTTGGGATTCACCTGACGCTGTCCTGTCCCCCCATCTTCTCCCACTCTGTGTTGTCCCCACAACACGGCCAGGTTTGCTGAGGTTTTAGTGAGGGGACAGTCACAGGGGTAGCTGTGAAACCCCCAACAGCCTTTGGGATGGACAACATCAATGACTTGAATGGCATCGCCAGCCACTGCTGCAGCTCCTGGACCCCAAAGGTAACAGAATGGGGAAGGGGGAGCTAGTAGCACTGCAGGCAGTAGGCAGAAATGCCAGAAGGTATCAGCCATGACACGTGTGGCCAACCCAAGGCAGTGTCACCACCTGTGTCCTCTCCATGAAGTGCACATGTTGCGTGTCTGGTCATTCACAGCTGGGTGTAGGACCCTTCCATGGATGTGGTAGGGCAGGGGAAAGGTGGGTATGCCGGGAGCACTGCTCCCTTGCTTCCACATGGCTGAGTGGGGCAGGATGGAGAGGAAATGTGTGGTTTTGGGGACCAGTGCATGGAGATGTCACTAAACACAAGTATGTACAGACTAGCTTAAAACTGAGCTCCAAAATCCATGTAGGATGCAGAGGGGAGGGCGGGATGAGGTTGGCAGCTACTCCACAAACCAGCGTCGTGGCAGGACTGCCCAAAAGAAGGGGAAGAAGAAGAAGGAGATTTAGGAAATAATTAGAAAAAACCCAACCAAACCAAAACAAACCAAACAAACAAACTGAAAATACCAGCTTGTCATCTGTATTAGTCTGGCTTGTGGGGATCTGCATCGAAGGCTGAAGGTGAGATAAACAGTATGATCCTTGTAAGATGCAATGTCGTAAGATATAAGTACAATGAATGAATGACACTCCTGATACGTGATTTGTCATGGTTAGCAGCAGCTTAGGAAATGTGCTGCAAAGGACAGTGCGCAAACTAGAAGGAATATACCAAGGCATACAGCATAGGTTTGATCCAAAAAGTCTCCGAGAGAGAGGAGATGTGGCAGTGCTCCTCAGTTCTTTGCATGTGCATTTTGCACCTTCCAATTGGAGAGAGCAGAATGAGGAAAGGCAAGTCATGGCAGCAGCATTCGGTAAAGAGCCACAACCCAGCCAAGGAAGTCAGAAGAGAAGGTCGGGTGACCGAGGAGGTCCACGAGGACCATCTTCATCAGACTCTGTCTTCAGCAGAAGACAGATACGCAGCACCCCCAGGGCAACACAGCCTCGGTGTGGGCTTGTTCTGGTAGTGAGAAAGTGCTAAATTACCAACTCCTGGTGTTGGATGAGATGTTGGATGAGATATTGGAAAAGCGCAGAGGATCCTGGCCAAATATGACCTCAATTGCGTTCTCTTCTTTTCACGTTTTTCCTCTTAACATTGTGCTTCTAATGCTTTTATCAAGAAAAACAGCTTGTTCAGATAAAATACATTATGTTCACTTTAAACTTGTCCAGCACTTTGGGTGATCTCCAGGGAATCTGACAAATGTGGAGGTAATGGATTCAAATGAAGTGCCTTGCAGGTGAGTACTGCGTGTGCCTGGAAACCCAGACAAAAGTTTAAGTGTCTCAGGAGCTGGGATAAGTTTCCTAGCCAGTTTCAAGGTCAGTTTGTGTATAGACAAGGAAGAGAAGATGCATCCCCTTGGTAGCTGTAACTCAGCATCTACTCAGCACAGAGCAGGCAGGAGAGGTACAAATCATGGTGGGGAGGAAAAAAAACCCTCTTTGTCACATTTCTGCTTGGATCAGCAGGGGTTGTGTGTGGAGCACAAGGTTGTGTTGTGGTTGGTTTGACAGCTAAAGGGTATGTGTAGCAACCATAGAGCAACATCCCCAGTCCCTCCACACCTTCCTCCAGGCCAGGTCCACCATAAGAGAGCTGCTGGGAGAGGGATGGATTTACCCCAGGCCCAACCAGAGCCAAAGTTGGCTCTCCTGGAAAGTGAACCCTCAAGAGGTCCATCAGAGTGCAGATGGCCATGCCCAGCTCACCCCAGCTTCAGGGGCTACAGCTCCGAAGGGCTAGTTGGGAGCCACCAAGAGGTTGTGCAGCTCTGCAGGCCCCTGCCCTGGGGGTCACATCCAGACATCAGCAAGAGGCGCAGGTGCTTAGCACAGTGCTGGCTCTGGAGACAGCCACCCACGCTGGCCAGGTCTTCCAGCTGTGAGGAGGTAGCCAACTTCTTGCTTGTCTTGGTCCCCACACCCAGACACCTCATCGAGGTGCCACCATCACCTCTCTTCCTCCAATATCACAGGTACCCTCACAGGAACGTTCAATATCATCCCAAAAATTTTGGCCCAAAGCCCATAGACACCACCAGATGTCACCAGGATTTGCCTCTAACCCTACTTTCACTTATTACTTGCCAGAAAATTATTTACTTTTCCCTGCATTTCTCGTCCTTTTGCAAAATCGGGGACTCTCTACAGCCCTTCTCGGGCTTGCTTTTGTAACCCCAGACAAGTTCCCTGCAGGCACTTCGCTTCCCTTGGTAGCAGAAGGCAGCACGGACACAGGGAGGAGGAGGGACACGGCCGAGTCAGTCGTGTGGGTCCACATCCAGGACTTCAAAGGAGCATCAGCAACAGTCAAACACACGCTCTGTCTGCTGGCTAAATAATGTCATCTGCAAGTGATTTGTCCTGTCACCACCAGTCTGGATGCTTCGCGCTCGCAGACGATCAAACAGGAGGTCTGCTTTCCAAGATTTGTCATCACCAGAACTCACTGCAGCTGCCTGAACGGCTCTGTCCAAGTAGTGCGAGCTGCAAACACTTCATCAGTAGCTCGCGTCATCCCATCCAAAGCACTTCAGCACTTCCAGAGGGTGGAATTAACCCTCTGCCTCATAGATTCAGGCAGCAAACAGTAACATTTGGGCAATTCAGCAGCATTTCTGGCTGCTCCATACCGATGCACCTCTGCCTCATGGGACTGGAGGAGGCAGCTCCCACCCCAAGTCCTGGCTGGTCCGTGGTCTCCTCACTGAGCCAGCAGCCGTGGTGACAACGCTCAGCCTCAGTGATGGCAGTGGCTGCGTGACAACTCCGGTCTGCCATGTAGGGAATTCTAAGTCCTCCTCACGCAAACCATCCCACCAGATGTCAGATGGTCCGTGCAAACCAGGGCTGGATTTTCACATCTGGAAATGCAGACAGAGCAGCATCACCACAGCTGGGCTCAAGACAAAGGTGAGACGTCAGTTGAAGCCTGCTGGTCCCAATCAGCAGTGTGGGAATGAAGCAAATGAACCAAGAGGAGCTGGCAGGAACCTCTGCCTTAACGAGACTCCATGCGTTGGGATGTTGCTACTGAGCTTTGAGGCTCTGCCTCAAAGAGTTCAAATTTCTTAGAACATAAATGGGAAGATTTAGATTAGATATTGGGAAGAAATGTTTTCCAGTGCAGGTGGTGAGGCAGTGGCCCAGGTTGCCCAGAGAAGCTGTGGATGCCCCATCCCTGGAGGGGTTCAAGGCCAGGCTGGATGAGGCTTTGAGCAACCTGGGCTAGTGGGAGGTGTCCCTGCCCATGGCAGGGGGTTGGAACTCAATGACCCTTAAGGTCTCTTCCAACCCAAACCATTCTATGATTCTATGAAAAGGGGAAAGAGGAGAGCACCCAGCTTTGTCCCAGGGAGCGGAGGATCTCTTGGGGGTTTCCCATGAAAGCTGAACTAGAAGACATGCCTAAGAGATATGAAAAGCAAGACAGCCATCTGTCATTTGCTGAGTCCTTCTGACCCCCTAGCAGAGGTTTGGAGGACAGAGAAGGGATGTGGGATTTCCAGTCCTCTGCTAGAAATCCATGAGCGGTCACCTAAAGAAGCAGGGCTGGAAGACAGCTAGTGGTGAAATTGGCAAGAGGAGATGTAGGGTGGGGGTAAGGTGGAGGCCATACATAGGAGCTGTTGCTGACGTACATTTGAAGTAATCCTTATTTCCGGATGGGCTCAAGGCTCCGGTTCTTTGGAGGCCAGATGCTATGAAACACCACTTCAGCCCACACAATCTCCCAGCCCAGCTTGCTACACTCAGCCTGGAAACAGCCATGTTACTGGGAAACCATGCAGTCAAAAGTAGATGACGAAGGACAGGGGAAGATGGGAACATCTGTCTGCCTCTACAGGGCACAAGGCACCCCATCCCCAGGCAGATGGAGGGGCTACAGAGACCTGGAGGAACCCAAGCAGAGGATATGGCATGACTCAGGCATGAAGGGACTGTTTCGGCCAGGAAGAGCTCAGGGCAACCTCCTCTAAAACCTGCCATAGCAGCTCAGCACTACCTGGGCACCAAAACGACTCGTGTCCCGGAGATCATCCCACACGACCACAGACATGGATCAAAAGGCAGGGAACACATGTGACAGTGAGTTCAACACAAAGAGATGCATTCAACTCGAGCCAAAGCCCAGGAAAAGGAGGAAAGCCAAGTCTGACCTCAGCATGGCCCAGCACATGTACGTGTGTTTACACATACTCCATCCAGCAGCTTCCATAACCAAGCTCTTCCGTGTCACCTTCTCTGGCAGCTTTGAAGTTACAACCAACCCCTTGCACCTTCTTCCTCCCATTAATGCCCAGGGCCCTTCCCAGCAACATGCTCCGACCACACTCCATCCCTTCTCACCAGCAACAACCTCCATTCCTCAAAGGTGCACTATTTTTCCAATACCTTCTGCCTTTTTGCCTGTGGCAGCAACTACTGAGGGAAAAAGAGAATCCCTTCCCCTTCCCACCCTGCATGGCATGAACAGATCAGGCAAAACTCCAGAGAGAGTATAGGGCTGGTGGGATGGACAAGGACGATGGGTTGACAATGGTCTACCACCTTCCACCTTGTCCTATGTTTATGGTCCTTCATGGGACATGGCTGGACCCCAAACATATTCACAGCACCCAGCAAAACAGGAACCCCACTGTGAGACTCTAAGCTCTATCATCAAACAAATTCATGAGATGTGCCAGAGACACCTTCCTGGTGACCAACATCTATGAGGGATAAGGTTGCCCAGAGAAGCTGTGGATGCCCCATCCCTGGAGGGGTTCAAGGCCAGGCTGGATGAGGCTTTGAGCAACCTGGGCTAGTGGAGGGTGTCCCTGCCCATGGCAGGGGGGTGGAACTTGATGATCTTTAAGGTCTCTTCCAACCCAAACCATTCTATGATTCTATGGTTCTATGTTGATGGGCAGCCCTGCCTGCCTGGCCAACCCAGCTCCCGAGCCTACCTGGGCCCCAGCTCATCTTCACAGCGCCAAGTGAACTCCCCAAAGCTCTCGTAGTGCTGGTTGTAGTGGTAAAGGACTCGGTGCAGGCTGGGGGAACCCAGGTCCAGCAGAGTGTTGTAGGCTGTCTGCTGCTCCTTGCCGCTGGTGTATCCGTTGAAGAGGTTGTAGATCTTGTCTGCTATTTCTGGGCAGAAGGAACAAGGGATACGTAGTGGGGTGCAAGAAAAAGCACGAACAAAGCCCACCAGGCTAAAGCTCAGCCCTAGGGAAACCAAGACCAGAGCCAAGATTTGTCCCCTGAGTTATGATTTACATCATATCCAGACAAGGTCCCAGGAGGGGACATTATAGCCAGGACACAAGATGTGTGCAGGGACACGCTGGGAGGGCAAACTCCAGCTGGTCCCAGTCATCACAGTCTAGCAGCTCTCTCCACCTCACCTTGAGCTTTCACATCATCTACCACAGGGCAGGGGGTCTTGACCGTCACATCGCTGGACCTGGAGCGTCTCCCTGTATTATCGACTCCCCAGAGCGTGAACCTGGCCAAGAAGGAAAAAGGTGAACCTCTGGATTCCCAAACCCTTATATAAACATGGGCAGCATCAAGCAGGAGCATCACACTGCCACAGGCATGGCACGAGGGAGGCGACTCACATGTAAGTGGTGTCGGGCTCCAGGCAGCGAACGATGAGGGAGATGGTGGAGGAGAGCTTGTCGGGCACTTGGGCTGGCATGGCGCAGGGCGACTTGGCTCCAGAGAGGATGTCATCCACGAAGCTCAGCACCGTCTCTAGGGAAAGAGGGGAGGATGCACCATGGGCGATGACCCAGGTCTGCTCAGGACTGCGGAGAGCTTCTGAAGGCTGTGCCCACTGCCACACTGCCTGGCTGAGTGGGACCAAGGTTCACGCGTGGGGTTGGTTGCTTTTCCAGCAAGGCTCATCACCGTGGTGTGGAGGGCAGGGGAGGTGCTGCTTTCTCTTCCACGGGATAAGGGATAAGTTGCGGCATCCCCATGCAAAGAGGGAGAGAGGCTCTCCTAAAACATCTCCATCCCACCCTCCCCAGAGAGACCCAGTGGAGTCCCCACTCACCGGTCTCCACCTTGGAGTGGTCCATCCTGTCAGTGACTTTCTCTTGTCGGAGGAGGTAGTCGACAATCTGCACCCCAATGGGGGGTTCCGAGTGCCCCCACTCCAGCACCACCAGTGTGCTGCTGGGCTCGTGAATGGTGGAGAGCCGCAGGCTAGAGGGCAATGCCAGCCAGTCAGCATCTTGGAAGGACATAGTCCACCAGCCTTCCCCACTGCTTGCCCACATTCACTCTAACCCATGGCTACCACCACCTTCCTGCTCCTCTGTGACATGAAAAGGCACCAAAAGTGAGAGAGTAAGATCAGGAGAGAAGCGGCTTCCCCCTTCACCCCGAAGGGCTCCTTCCCTCACGTTGCTCTACCAGGTTGGCTCCAGAACCACCTCCCCGGTCCTCAGACGAATTTAAAAAAGACACTGCACCTCTGTACCCTCTGCCTGATTTACAGGCCCCCCCATCCACTTGCAAACCTGCCCCACGAATGCACCCCAGCCCCACAACCTCCTGCCATTGTGCCGCTGGCCATCACCACCTCCCCCCCATGCCCATTGCATGAGAGGCCAGGCTGGGCGCACACAGAGACCTACATGGGGTGTGGGAGAGGGGCGCAGGTGGGCAGCCCATCAGCCCCGAAGGCGCTTGAGTCACAGCGGCACCAGTCCTCGATGACATCCCCGCTGCCGGAGCACCACAGTGAGCTCATGGTGGCCTCCTGCAAGAGCTAGGAGAGAGGAGAAGGGGGTGAGCTCCCATCCTGCTGCCACTCAAGTGACACTCATCCATCCTGTGGTGTGCTTAGCACCGTCCATCCACCCAGGGCCAGCTAAAGGACAAAGGCTGCCATGGCCTGACATGATGCTACGAGGACAAGACCTCAAGACGATGCTGTCCTGCTGTCCCCCTTGCCTGCCCCACGACTCCCAACTCCTCACCCGCTGGGTCTGGTTGTTGGTGACCAGCTCATAGATGGGGGCCGCTTTGGTGACCTCCAGCAGGATGGGCTCGGCT